TAAGCATTATCAATGGCAGACCACACCTGGAGGTCCACAGCTCAAATGAGCAGCAAAGTGTGATGAGAGAGGCTGGCTCACACTTTGGAAGTGCTTCCTCTGTTTCTCTTCTTTTGCTTCCCTGTTTATTTCTCTCTAGTGTAGGGATGATAAATAAAAAGTACACATGCCCCTCACAATCCCATGACAGACCCTGTTATTCAATCATGGCATTTTTTTGTTCTTGATTATACCTAGGGACGTAACCAAAACTGAATATTAATTGATTGAAATGGGCATTTGCCAGTCTACCCTTGGATAAATACACCCAAAAAATGAGAGCTCATTGTCCACACAATGAAATGTACAAGAATGTTCTGGCAGCTATATTTCTGATAGTCTCAATTTGGAAACAATCCAAACGTCCATCAACAGTAGAGCAGATAAAAATATAGTATATGCATATAATTACTCTACAGAAATGAAAAAGGACAAACTACTGATACACAGAATTTGAATTCATCTTAGAGACATAGTGTAGGCTGAAAGAAGTTAAGGCATAAAGGAGGCACTCTACGTCAGTCTATTTATTGCAGTTCAAAAACAGGCAAAATTCATCCATGGTGATAGACGTCAAGCCAGTGGATATCCATGTGGGAAACTGACTGAGCCTTCTGCGGACTAGGAAATGTTCTATACCTTGACTTCGGTGGTGGTTTGTATGGATATGCGCATGAGCAAAAATTCACTGGGATGTGTACCTAAGCTCTGCATACATTACTATGTTATCTTTTATTAAAAGTAGGAGCCCTTGCTCCTGTTTTTCTCTGTATAAGGAGCATAAGGTCATGGGTCTGACTCTAATTCAGATCCAAGCTCTGTCACCTATTAGCTGTGTCTCTTGAGTTAATTATGTCACCTCTTTGTACTTCAGTTTCTCACCTTTGCAGAGGGGATAAAAATAGTACCTAATTTACAGCACTGTTCTGAGGGTTAAGTCAGATAATTCTCATAAAACGCCTCATAAAACACCTGCCTGGTACATTTAATATACTCACGAAATGTGAGGTGTGGACTTTGTTCTCCTGTTCTCCTCTGACCATCTAGTTCTTACTCATGCTTTTTTCCTCCCCCTCCAATATTCTTTCTTCCTTTATTCATCCTTTCATCTCCCCCTACTCTTAAGAGTTCCCTCAACGTCAAGTTAAAGCACATATCTCTTAAAATATATCGAATACAATTAATAGTTATATTTGTAATAAAAAAGCAAGCAAGTTTAGTATTTTCCATGTCTCTCTTCCAAAGCCCGGACCACATCCTCGACCAATTAAGTTGCACATCTGGAGGATGAAACAGGCATCAGTAGCCTTTGAAGCTCTCCAGGTGATTCTAATGATTTCGATGTGCATACAAGTTTGGGAACTACTAATTTAATGGCTTTCTATTGTCTCAACCATGTCAGCATGTGGTTCTGAATCTTGGCTGCACATTAGAATTGTCTGAGAAGCTTCTAAATGATACTGATGCTCGGGCCCCACCCTGGCTGAGGCCTGGCTATTTCTGCTACGCAACCAGCGTTGAGAGCCACTGCGCTGGAGCAGTCGGTGTTCGAATAGGTCTTGTGATCAGGGCAACTCCACCTCCGACCCCGGCCTCCTGTGTCCCTCTCGAATTAAAATACTTTCTCCTCATGTTTTGAAAACTTCTCGTCCTTTTTTTTTTTTTTCTGTTGCAAGCCATATATGGAGAAGAACCACGTAATGCTGATAAGTTATTGGTTTGTTTTGCCCACAGTATGGGATTGTGCTGGATGCAGGCTCTTCTCACACGACTTTGTACATCTATAAGTGGCCAGGAGAAAAGGAGAATGACACAGGGGTGGTGAATCAGTTAGAAGAGTGCAAGGTAAAAGGTAAGATGAAGAAAAAGGAAAGGGAGGATGGTGGGACATGAGAACATGAGAGTATATGGCAAGCGGAAAACATACAAAAAGCAAGTCAAATGAAAAACATAATGGAGCTGCTCTTGTTCGTTTATCTTTAAAAATTATATTGAAATCAGCCCTTCATAATCAAGCCCTCAAAGCATAACCAAACTTAGAAATAATCGAGTAATTGCACTCCCGTTAACAGGACACTGCTGTGTGCCTTGTACCTACCTAAGTACGAAAAATGTGTCATGTCATCTTGACAATCTCCTTTTGAGATATGTATTATTATTCCCATTTTTTAAAAAAGAGAGCACTGAGACTGAGTGACATAATGCCACTTACTTAAGGTTGCTTAAGCTGGTAAGAGAGAGAACTGAGATTCAAATGGAGATCTACCCAACTTCAAACCCATGTCTTAGCCAGTAGTTCTAGAATCTGAATTGGCCTCAGAACCATCTGGAGGGTTTGTTAAAGCACAGATGCTGGGCTTCACCCCTTGTTGAAGGCCGGACGTTTTGAATGAAAACAGTTAGCTAATAACTTAGAGCTGATTTTCTCATTATGGTTAAGTAACCAGGCTGTTTAAAAATCTGTGAAGGATATGGATAACATATTTAAACTGAATCCTTACTATAAAGCCTTGGCAGTATAGATGTTTATCTTAAAATGAATCAAAATTGTGTTAATTTCCAAAAACAAAACAAAACCTTCAGGAATCTTGGCTCTAATCTTCTCCATAGCAACAATTAGTTTTGCTCTAAAACTGGAAAAAATTTTACTAGGGAGGCTGGGGATCGGAGTGGGAAAAAAAATCACTGAGGAGACATGGATTCAATTCCTGTTCCTTCTATCAAAGAAACTCCGCTTCAGAAATTTTAGGGGACTGGTCATGATCACATAGCTAGTGAGTGGCAGTCTCTATCTTTTCAGTAAAAGCCACTTGCCCTGGTGCTTATTTTACTGTTTTAAACGTCATCTTTATCCTTTTGGATATTCTAGGAATTAGTGTTGTTAATTACAACTTTGTGGAAGAAACATCAAAAAGTAGCTATGTAGAATAGCTATAAAATTCCCATTAAAATCTGAGAGAACCTGTTAGGAAGGTTACGCAATTGAATGTGAAAATTGCACCATCCAGTGGCAAAATTATTGAACAGCAGACAGACCTAGCTCACAGTTTGAAAGTAAGTCCTAAAGCTAGGTTGGTTCAGGGAGTTACCCTGTAAGTAATGTATGTCACATCAAGAAACTGTCTTCCTGAATTTTATCAGAAAACACCAGTATTTTGCTCTAATATTGTCAAGGTATGTTCTATACTTTTAAAATATATTGTCATCTGCTTCTACGTTTTTTCCTAGGTCCTGGAATCTCACAATATGCTAATAAAACACATGAAATAAGCATTTATCTGACTGCATGCATGGAAAGAGCCAAGGAAGTGATTCCAAAGTCCCAGTACCAAGAGACACCTGTTTACCTGGGAGCCACGGCAGGCATGCGGTTGCTCAGGTATAGCGGCATGTAGAGACCAAGAGTGGCTGCGTGTTGGGTTTGGCAGCACACGAGCCTCTGAAGTGATGGGGGAGGACCCCACTTCCCTAACACCTCAAATTCTAAATAAATATCTTAAATGTCCACACCTAGGAAAGAAAATCTCAGTAAGTGGCTCAAATTTCCAAACTCTTAGTATGTATAACTTTGGGAGTTTAAGTATGTTAAAAAACAAACAAACAAACAAACAAAAACCTCTCTCATCCTTCTCCCTATAGGGAATTCAAGGGAGTGAAGGCACAAAGAGAGAAAGATTGAGCTTATATACTGTGGGATTTGGGGCTACAGATTAGCCATTCAAAATCTAGGAGGGGGAAGACCAGAGGAGACTCACAGATGTCCCAAAACAAATACAACTAGCACATTTGATTGGTCATCACTTAGTACTTGTGTGAATTATGTGTTCATTTGTTCATTCATTCATTCAGTATGTACTGACTGCCTACTTTGTCCCAGGTTATGGAAATATGTGACTTCAGCCCTCAAGGAGATCCATTTCAATACAGGGTGATCCATTTTTTTTAATAGAGGAAAGCTCGGAGCTGCTATAGGAGCACACTTAACTCTGCCCAGAGTGGGAGAAGGTCAGGAAGATTTACCAGAGCGGGACACGTGAGCTGAATCATGAAGGATGAATTGGAGAGTGGGGAAGGGCATCGCAGGCAGAGCAGACATCATGCATTCCATAACCTATACTTATTCGGTACCTGTTATGTGTCAGGTACTGTTCTAAGTGCTGGGGATACAGTGAAGTAGACAAAGTCCTGCCTTCCTGGAGCTGGAGCTTGTGTTCTGATAGATGTGAAAAGGCAGGAATGTGTGAGAGACCAGGGTATGTTTAGAGGACTATAAATAGTTCTGCACAGATAGAACATAGAGTACATATAGTAAAATCATCATCATCATCATCATCATCATCATAGTGGCTTGTATTTGTTGAGCCCTTACTATGTTCTTATCACTGCGCTTTAATTTAATCATAATAACTCTATGAACTAACAGGTATTATTAACTATTATTAATCAGATAAGGAAGCTGTGGCTTACGAATGTTAAGTAACTCATCCGGGGTCACATACCAGGTAAGTGGTAGAGCCAAGATTCTGTGTGGGAGTCTGAGAAGGAAGAGTCTAGATCACCACATGCCTTGTAGGCCATGCTAGGGAGTTTCGAGTTTATCTGGGAGTTAACGGGAAGCCATTCAATGATATTACACAACTGGTGACACTGGTAGAGAAGGTGGGTTGGTGGGGAGGAAGACTAGGGATGAGGGGCCAGTTGGTAGGGTAAGGAAGTCATATGGATGAGAGATTACGAAAGTCTGGTGCCAGTTGAAAGGCAGCATCATCTGACTCAGGGCCTCCCAGTGTTGAGTAGCTTACGTCTTGGATTCAATTGCATCCCATCTTCATTACGACAATTCTGGAAGATTCCTCCTTTAGGCCTCAAGGTCTCAGACAGACCCAAGAACTGAAACACAAAAGAGGAAGATTTTTTTTTCCCCAGCCTGGTACCAATGGAGGTTGGGTATTTGTCCCAGAACATTTGCCACCTGACTTCTACTAGAGCCCTAATTATAAACCTCAAGCAGAGCCTGGGTATGTAACCAGCTAGGAGCCACTAGCAATGGCTAACGTAGTGATCAAACAAACCCAGCTATAACCACTACAGTAATTAAAATTACTTCGATAATTATTTAGAGCCAGAGAACAATGACAGAAATGGTGTTTTAGGAAGACCAACCTATTCAGGGATTGGGAGGATTTGGACTTGGAGAGAGTCTGGCCTCACTCAAAAGGCGGGCCCCTCAGACAGCCATGTGTGGATATCTCCATCTCTGTTTATTCCAGCGAGTTATGATTTACTTCCTGGGAAAAGTGACTGGCTGAAATAGGTAGCTGCAGTTATTAAAACTAAACTGGTAACCTCAGCTCTTCCTTTTGTGTAGGATAGAAAATGAAGGGTTGGCAGACAACGTCCTGATTGCGGTGACACAGAGCCTCAGCAAATACTCCTTTAACTTCCAGGGTGCCAGAGTCATCAGTGGCAGAGAGGAAGGTGCCTACGGCTGGATTACTATCAACTATCTGCTGGGAAAATTCATTAAGGTGATTATCTCACAGTACTCATGAGGTGATTCCCTGGGGGCCAATGCTGTTGCTATTTCAGGCAATACTTAGATTGTTATCCAGAGTGAATGACGGACGAATGAACAAATTAATCTACCCCCACATCTGCAAGGGTCACCAGAGGTATAGTTCTCTTAAGAGAACTTTTACCGGAGAATAGGGAAGCCACATATTTACTTCAGAGAGACATTGTGGAAATGAAAAATCTATCATTAAAAATAAGAATAGTTAATATTTGCCTAGTACTATGTGTCTTGTGCTATGCTAAGCACTTTTCTGCATGATTTAATCTTCAGAGCAACTATATGAGGTATTCTCTCATTTTAGAGCCCCAAATTGAGGCCTAGTTAAGGTTAATTATTCTGCTCAAGGTTACAAAGCACACAAGTGAGGATCTGCACTTGAGATTTTCCTGGCCCCTTATTCATAAACACTGACCATATTGCTTCTATATTGCTGCAGTCTGAGCCATGTCTTTGAAGACCCTGTTTTCTTGCTGTTC